CTTGTGAGTCAGAATAGCTAGTGCTATTGTTCTAAGGTAAATGGCCAAGGCCAAAGAGGTGTTCACAACCACATGGTTGGCAGCAGAGCCTTGACCAAAGCCCAGGTTTGCTATCTCAGAGTCCAGGCTCCTCCACTATTCGGTAGAAGAAAATTACCATGAAGTGAAAGCCTCCTCTGTTGATTCTGTTTTGTCCACACCAAGCAGCCATTTTGCCTTCTGGGGCTGCTGTGATTTGTAGTTTTGATATTTTGTTGGTGGATGTCTGTACAGAAGGGGAACACAGATGGAATTGCTGGGCTTTGCAACTGGTATGACTCAAGCGGCACTTGTGGCTCCAGTGGAGACAGAATCAAGGTTGTCTTCAGAAAGCAAATGCAGCCTGTGGTCAGAGGAGCTGCTGAAACAGAGGCTGACATTCACACAGTGTGCCTCCAGACAAACCAGGCCGAGAGCCATCATGATTATTTTTCCTCCCAGCAGGGCATAATGACAAAATAATACCTGTCAGTCATTGAGAACAGTCCAGCCTTCCTATGCAGGTTCCATGAGGCAGTGGTCAGGAGATAATCTGTGCATGTATTTGCACACACACACACACAGAAAAAATTCCATGGATGCATAAGTGTGGGAAATATGGTGCACTGTGGCTGGGTGAGGTGGCTCATGCCTATAATCCTAGCACTTTAGGAGGTGGAGGCAGGAAGATCACTTGAGCCCAGAAGTTTGAGACCAGCCTGGAAACCATAGGGAGACCTCTTCTCTACTGAGATTTTTAAAAAATTGGCCGGCTGTGGTAGCACATGCCTGTGGTCCCAGCTATATGGGAGGCTGAGGCAGGAGAGGCAGGAGGATTGCTTGTGTCTGGGAGACTGAGGCTGCAGTAAGCTATAATCACACTACTGTACTTCTGCCTGTGTGGAAGACCAAGACCCTGTCTCAAAATATATGTGTGTGTGTGTGTGTACCATATACATATTATATATAATATATACATTTATGTATAGCACAGTGTAATGCCCCCTTAAGAGATCACAAAAAAACTATAATATTGATATGGTTTGAATGTGTGTTCCAGGTTCTTGTGTTGGGAGGTGGGGTGAATAAGAGGTGATTAGGTCACAAGGCTCTGCCCTTGTGAATGTTACCATCACCCTAGTAGGTTAGTTATTGCAACAGTGGGCTCATTATACAAGCAAGCTGGGCCCCCTCTTTTACTCTCCTGCTCTCTCATGCTCTCTTGCCCTTTTATCTTCCACCATGGGATGGCGTAGCAAGAAGACCCTCACCAAGTGTGATCCCTTGACCTTGAATTTCCCAACCTCCAGAGCCATAAGAAATAAATTTCTTTTCTTTATAAATCACCCAGTCTGTGGACTTCTGTTTTAGCAACACAAAGTAGACCAAGACAAACACATGCGAGATTTGAGAAGCCCTGCTGCCACCTGCAAACCCGTTTCACCTAGTATTTCTCAAACCTAATGGGGAAGGAGAACAGGGAAACTTTTTATATAATACCTACTGTAGAAGATATGTTCAGAAAAGCTGTATTACCTCATTTAATCCTTACAACAATGCTAAATGGTAGGTATTAGAGAGGTCAAATAACTTGCCTAACAGAACTAGAATTCCACTAGGTCAGCCTGAAGCCAAATCCCATTCCATTAAGTATGGAGCTATATAACCTGAAGGTTTCGGGTTGACTTAGGGTCCTGTGTTGTGACGGCTCCTGTGGGCTCTTAGTGAAGCTGTGAGTCCTGAGGCCCTACGACAAGATAAGAAAAGCTGACTGCAAATGGAGAAGCTGAGGAACGCCTGGGCAGGGCAGGTTTTTAGGAAACAGGCAGGTGAAGAAGAGGAGCCTATGAGAGCTGGATGGTAGTGAAGAGGGCGGGGAGTGGGTGGGAGTGGGTTGGAAAAGACAGTAAAGACCTGTACAGTGAGAATATCGATTTCAGGGCTGTTGTGAGGGTAAAATGAAACCCGTTTGTCAGGCACCTAGCACTGCGCCCTTCCCAAGACAGTAAGTGTGAGCAGGATGAGAACAGCAGATGGGAAGGATAACAGGCTTCAATTCTACAGGCCAGTGCAAAGCTTTATCTCCATGCTGAGCTCAGCAGAATCACCCAAGACTGAACTTGCATAATCTCACAGCATCCCCCCTCCATCCATTTAGGCTCTTCAGGGGTGTTTGATTGAAGGAGTTCATTATTTGCCTCAACTGTCTCTAATTTTTACCACAGTGCCTCTCACGATCACAACTGATTGTTCACTTGAAATAATGAATGCAAATAGAAGACTGGGCCATCGGGAATCTTCAGGGAAGGAAGAGCAAGTGGGTGAGGTTGTCAACGTCACAGACTGACAGCCCCCAAGGCTGGGAATAAACCGTGCCCAGGTTGAGTTTGACCTACTGAACATTTTAAAAAGATGAATTTGTTTTCAAAATTTATAATCAGGCTATATCACATAAAAAGTCAGATTCTGGCTTCCCTTTTATTTTTTACATTTTAGTTTTAAAAACAAACATCTATTTCTAGAGTCTGGGAAGTCCAAGATTAAGATGCTAGCAGATCCAGTGGCCGATGAGAGCCCTCTTTCTGTGCATAGGCGGCCATCTTGTTCCTATGCCCTCACAGTAGAAGGAACAAGGGAGTTCTCTAGGGTCTCTTTTATTTACAATAGAAATGCTCTTGCTATGTTAACCAGGCTGGTCTTGAACTTCTGGCCTCAAGCTATCTTCCCACCTTTGCCTCCCAAAGTGCTGGGATTACAGGCATGAGCCACCGTGCCCGGCCAGGGGTCTCTTTCCTTTTTTTAATTTCCAACTTTTATATTAAGTTCAGGGGTACATGTGCAGGACGTGCAGGTTTGTTACATAGGTAAAAGTGTGCCATGGTGGATTGCTGCACAGATCGAACCATCACCTAGGTGTTAAGCCCAGCACCCATTAGCTATTCTTCCTGATGCTCTCCCTCCTCCCACCTCCCACTCCCCGACAGGCCCCAGTGTGTGTTGTTCCTCATCTGACTTCCTTCTAAAAGGCCAGCAGTTGCCTGGGGCTAAGTCACAGCTTCCAGTTTGGTCACCCCAGCTGCCTCAGGTCTACCTGACTCACTGGATTACCTGATCCACCAGAGCAGGATTTGCATCTGTGCTGTATGCCCAAGAGTAAGATTTGCATCTGTGCTCAAGGTCCAAGAGTAAGAGCAGGATTTGCATCTGTGCTGTATGCCCAAGAATAAGATTTGTGAAAAAGAAATCTACAGCCATCTCCCCTTCCTCAGAATGAGCTTACTGGGATTCCTAATAAAGGTTTCTGGTGAGTGTCTATAAAAGTATTTGGTCACCTGCAAAAAGGAAGAAAACTGTGGCACCTGGTTCATTATTTAATCCTGTCATACCAATGTCCCTTCTGTGAGTGAGAGAATTAAAATATCGGGCTATCAGCTTCATAAATACAGCAACTAGTCAGAGAAGAATAAAGAGCAGCTTAAGTTTTCCATGCACTCTCATCTACATATTGGAAACATCAGCGCTGACGGAACTGCTCAGCAGTGAACACAGGCGAATAGATTTTAGTTCTTTAAAAGCCTTCATTCTGAAGATGTTAAAGTGCTGTGCTGTCGTCAAGCTCAGTATGGTACAATAATGCAAGTCACAAATATGAGCCGTCTTCGTAATTTTAAATTTCCTAGCAGCCACATTAAAGATGTAAAGAGAAGCGAGTGAAATTTTTACTTAACCTATGTAAAACAGTGCCATTTCAATGTGTAAACAATATAAAAATTATTAATAAGAAATTTTACTACTTTTTTTACTGAATTCTTCAAAACCTGGTAAGTATTTTACACATAAAGCATATTTTAGTGTGTACTAGCTACTTTTCCGGTGCTCAGAAACCACACGTGGCCCGTGGCTGCCTTATTGAACAACACAAATGCACATGAAATCATATATTTGCCTTAGATTAGCAAACAAAAATATATGGAGGGAGAGCTGGTATGGATTTGCCACAGATCTCACAGGGAACCATGAGGCCAGCCAGGAAACTGACATCATTGTAATCTACGAACTATGTTCTCCAGGTTCTTTTGGGCCCCCAAATGCGCCCTCACTCTGATCCTTCCCCGTCTATCTCTGTCTCCTTTCTTCGTTGTCTAACTGGAGTCACTGTAGGACCGTGAACAGCACAGGATGTTGAGAAGGAAGGAGTGGGCTGGATTCCCAGCCTGTCTCTTGCAGGCTAATGACCTTGGGCAAGTTACTTAACCTCCCTGCTCTCAGATTTCTTTTCAATAAAATAGGATTAGTTCTTTCATCACTGAGTTCTGAGGATTATATAAAATCATAAATGTAAACTCCTCCGCATCAAATAAACACTATAGTTTTCAACTTTTTAATTATTATTTTTAAGTGTGTGTGTGTGTGTGTGTGCGTTTGATGAAAAGAGCAGTGGGGGAAAAAATTGAAGACGTGAGAATTTTTTAAAAGATGTGTTAAAATCCCAAGCCACATTCTATTCCTTCTTTAGTAGTTGATGCTTAAAAATTCTCTCTGCGCTTATAAAAAGCATGACTTTGGCCCAAAGCACCCTAAGCCTAGGTCATGCATACATACCCAAAGCATGAGAATAAAAAAGGAGTTCCTGTTTTCACTAGAGTCTGTCCAATCACAGGGCAACCCAGAAAACCTCAGTGAGCACCATGGGGACTCGGCAAATACTCAATGTCTGAGGAAGCTTCACAGGGTCATTGCATATGAAGGTGACAAGAATTCTATCATGCAGAGGACACAAGTTTCTCAGCCTCTGCAGGTTCCTCGACTGTAAAACCTGTAAAACGGTGCGTTGCAACCCTTAAGGAGCCTTACCAGACTGAAACCTTTCAAGGTCCTAAAGCCTGAAGCATCCGTGCCACACTCTCTTCTACTTAAGCTGTAGCCCCTGCTCACATCCTTGGGCACTTTGAGAAGACTAATAAAATAAAGGGAAGACTCACCAGTTCATCCTCCTCTCCCTGGTTGAGCAAAGCCCGCTGGGCCTTCTTACTGTTCTCCTCCATCTCAGCTCAACCGGTTTGGGTTTCTCCTGGCTAACTCCTTGGAGAAATGTCAGAATCCCTTGGGCTTCTGTGAACTCAGAATCATCACGGCTTGTGATTGCTCTTCTCTTGTACTTTTAAAATCTCTTAGTGCACACCTTGCCTATTAGACTAACAAAGGAAGAGAAAATCTTCTCAGGAGCAGGAGTGGTCTGTTAATCTGCTTGCTGTGTGTGTGTGTGTGTGTGTGTGTGTGGTTTTTTTTTTCCTAGTGTTTGTTTACTGAGCTAGATATGAGTGCCTCTAGACTTGAGGAATGAAGGAGAGGAAAGCCATCAAACTAGAAAGATAACGATAAATAATTCTGTATGCTGTTCATAAACATCTCAGCCAAGGAATGAGTATAGTCCCTTTGCTAAAGCCTAAGACAAAAGGATTAACCAGTAAGAGGTGTATAAAAACCCTGCAGACTTTGCAAAAGTAATGAACATATTAAGGGTGACAATGAGAATTGAAGGAAGGGAGGTTGGCTCATGACAGAGAATGTAAGAATCATTTTGGAATTAGAAAAATCTGAGTTCTAATCTCTGCTTTACTGATGACCCTGGAAGAATCACTTAAAATCTGAATTTTAGGTTTCTATTACATAAAATGCCAATAATAATTGGGTGATATAAAGATTTAAGGTGATAACAATTGCACTCTCCACACTCAGTAAGAGAGAAGTAATCATCATCACAATCATTACATCAATCAAGAAGAGGCTTTAAAAAGTAAACTATGTTAATAACTCGATTCTTTTCATTTACTCTTTACAGTTTACAAAAGTTTTCAAATGAGCAAAGTGGGTGGAGGGAGGAGACGCTAGAAAGACCGAGGATTAAGGTTATAGCCCAAATTTCAACACCGCTGAATTTGATATTTTAATTAAAAAATAAGTATGCTATGATTCATTCCAGAGTTAGTTAATTTGTTCATGATGAAAACTTTTGTCATTTTATTGGCCCTTATTTCGTCCTTGCACTTCGACTATGGAAGAAAATTTGCCGTGAATGAAAATCACTAGAGGGTGATACTTGGCTGTTTGCACTGACAGAAACTGTCACTGATTGCCTTGAGCCAGCACAAGTGTCCAACTTGATGTTCAGGAGAGGTCGAAGTGCTCTCTGACCAGGAGAAAGTGGCTGATGAGAATAAACAGACAGAAAACTACAGCTCTTCATGCCAGAGGCTCCTGAGGTAGCCATACTAAAGCATAATATGCCAGTGTAAGTGTTGCCTTGTAAGTAGTAACAATCTAAGGTAAAATGCAGATTTGAATAAAGATCTTCTGGATTTTAGTAAAACTTCATTAAAGACATGAGTGGCAGCTGTCATTCACTTCTTACCCATCAGCTATTTACTTGTATTTCTTGCTGAAAAAAAACAAATTTGTGCAGCACGACTTTAGCTAAAAGCACCAAGGATGAGTCAATGATTTGTCTACAGGTGGGCATGAGGCCCAGTTCTAAACAATTAAATGTAAGAGAAAGACAGCTGGGGCTCTAGTCTTGTGGAAAGGCTATCTTATTGGCGAAAGAGAGAGAAGATCATTTTTTTTCTGTCTTCTCCTTTCTGCCTTCCTTTGAAAGTGATGCATGAGAATGCAATGCTTGGAGCATGGTAGCCATCTTTAGATGGTGAGGAGGATGAAAATCACTATGGAACTTATGATGAGAAAAGGACAGAAGAGCTTAGATGCTTATAATGCCACTGAGTCACAGAACTTACCTACCGCTAGACACCATGTTAAATACACAAGTCAGTGTTCTCATAAAGCCACTCTTGCTTCAGTTTTCTGTTACGCGTAGCCTAAAGATACACATGGCACTTGCTGTGACTCCATTCCATTTTTACTCAGCAATTATGTATGGAACAACAGATGTTCCAGACGTTGTGCTAGGCCCTCGGATATAATGGCATAAAAGGAAAAAGTCCCTATTCTGAGGGAGTTCACAGTTACTTGGGAATGACAGACAAGCAGCCTCTTAAGTGGGAAACACACTAAAGTCAGGTTTAACGGAATGCAAACAGGTTCCCAAAGGAAGTGTCATGTATTCTGACATCTCAAAGACAAGCAGAAGTTGACAGATAGAAAGAAGGGGGCATAGTGGCATCTGGTGAGCCCAGTCTGGGCCAGGGAGCAAAATGTGTGAAAAGAGTCAAGAGAGGTAGGAAAGGATAGCCTACTCGGGATATTAAGGGGAATGAAAGTAAGACTTGAGACTAGAAAGATGGGAATTGAGGAGTAATAATGAAGGAGATGCAAACTAAGGTGTGCCCAGTCGAGAACAGCTCGTCAACCGTGGCAGGCTGGACTCTTGTCTCTCCACCAGCCAAGACCCAAGGCCTCAGCTCCTTCCCACTGAGGAACAAGCACTCTTTGCCCTGTACAAGTACAAAATACTCACTTCAAAATTAAGTCTTTGAATAACCCCAGGGCTCATAAGTGCCTTGGAGGCACCAGCTTCCAAGTCTCGGAGGTGTGAATGCTGACACTGGGCCCACTCACTGTCCAGTTGATTCATCAGGTCGAAGTTTGTATTAGATAATCTCCAGGGTCTCTAAATACTGAGCACTCACTTTAGCCACCAGAGGACAAGCTCTGTGAAGAAAATAATCATACAGCATTAAACCCTGCCTCCTGGAAAGTCTGCAGCAGACATTATAGATTACAGGACCTAACGCCAGACCCCCATAGGCAATGTGAAGATCCAGCCATGCCTCAATGGCTCAGCCAGCCCCTGGTAGACACGCAGGTGGAAGAGTCACCTATTGTGTTTATACATGTGCTGCGGGGCTGAGGGCATCTCTTCTGGGAGAAGCAGCCTCAGGATCGGTGGCAGTGGTCTCTTCCAGGTCACATTAGTGTCTCTAGCCACAGAGTTCAGCAGGTTGTAACTCAAGCTGGGATTCTTTTGATCTTTTCCATCTGAAGAGACCAGACTCCTGGTTTCCTATGACTGGAAGCAGAACAATGCATCCCGATGAACTGCAAAGGCAAATTCTTTCCTATTGAGAAGGAAGTTGTCAGCACCACAAAGCATAAGACAGGGGCCTTCAGAGACAAGAGGGGAGGAAAGAGCCCAGTGAGGATACAGCCAGTGCTCGACTTACGACCACAATTGGTTCCGACAGACCGGTCGTAACACGATTTGGTCGTAAGTTCAGTAGGCTATATGCACGCAGAAATGGTAGTGCTGCCGGAAGCTGGTCCGCACTGTCGTACGCCCAGCTGGACAACGTTTGCGCTGCCAGACGCGGAGCCGTCGTGGCTAGTGATTGTGGTCGTAAAGTCAAATGGTCGTAAGTTGCATAGGTCGTAAGTCGATCAATACCTGTACTCAAAATGCAACAAAGAGTGAAATGCCCTCCTCGCACCAGGGCCTGAAGAACTGGTCATCTCTCAAGAAGTCAAGTTATAGAGCTCTGAAGGGCTTTCCTATCAGAATGAAGCCAGAGGAAGTAAATGGCTGAGAGAGTATTTCATCTTCTTCCACGATCCCTGACCTGGAACACAATTTCCAGAAAACAACAACAAAAAAACAGAGATGGGAAAAAGTTTAGCCTCCCAAGTAAGTAGCTGGGATTATAGGTGCCCACTAGCACATCCAGCTAATTTTGGTATTTTTAGTAGAGACAGGATTTCACTATGTTGGCTAGGCTGGTTTCAAACTCCTGACCTCAAATGATCTGCCTGTCTTGGCCTCCGAAAGTGCTGGGATTACAGGCATGAGCCACCGCGCCCGGCCCGTTGTTGTTGTTTAAGGAAGAATTATACCAATTTTAAGAGCATTCCCCGACCTGTCCCCACATACCCCAACCTGTCTCCACATACCACTTCAAAAAAGAGAAGTTTTGTGTCATTAACACGATGGAAGAACTTCTTAAAAAATGTAACTGTCAAGTGTTCTGTTTGCATTTAGGATACTGTTCATCTGTACTAGATTGTCGTTTTCCCTCCTTCTCCCACAAAATTTTACTGGTAATCCATATCATGACTCATAGCTATTCCTCTAACCATGCCATAAAAATGCAGGCACCCAATGTGAAAAGGAGCACTTGCTGGGCATCACTGACACCGTTCATGTTTTACTCATAGTTGAGTAATCAGCATACCTAGAATTTTCTTGCATTTCCTAAGTCATATGTATATAGTGAATGTTATATAATATACCTGGCACGTCTGTTTTAATTTAATTGAATAAAGATACAAATACTTTGTAATAATAATAATAATAATAATAATAATAAAGTGGTCAGGGAAGACACTGCAAAGATGTGAGGAGCTAAGGGCCTGTGGATACCTGGGCAAAGAGGGTTCTGAGTAAAAGGACTATTAGGTGTCAAAATCCTGAAGCTGGGGGCCAGGAAGGAAGCCGGAGTGCCTGGGGCAGTGTGCACAGTGAACAGAGTCTTAGGATTCCAGGAAGCAAAGCGACACTGTGGACCTATTTGACACCTAGAAAAGATCGTTCTTTACGTCCCCCTCGTCTATGTGACAAATTTTTCAAGTGTGAGGTAGAATTAATAGCAATAGCCAGAAAATATACATAGACAGTAAAATCGTCTTTTATTGAATGTTGTATATGTAATTATGCCAGTAAAAATGATTTTTAAAAATAAAGATTACTGTACATAAAGAAGTAATGAAGACTTTTCAACTATACTAAGATATTTTTCACTAAAAGAGAAAAATGTACACATTTTAATTAGTAATAACTTTATAGCAACTAATAAATGAATTTTAATGAAATGAAAAAACTGGCAAAAAGTAAAATTTGGGCAATTATTGAATCATTTCACTCATGGAATATTTTGCTTTCTTGACCCATTTTTTTAAAATGGACAAAAATTTGAAAAGCAAACTCAATCTCCATTTTAAAGATACTATTCAATTCAGAAATATATTTCAAGTATGAACTAAAATGCTCACTTACCATAAAAAAATTACAACTTATAATGTGCACTCTCTCTTACTCTGCAAAGAAGAGCCTTGGAAGAAAAACTTCTAAGACAACTGGACTGAATTGGAGCCAGGAAACGGAGGTCTGAACAGTGTGGAGAGGGAATTTGATTTTATATTATCAACAAAAACAACCACTGGAGGTTCAATAGTAGTTCTCCAATTTCTTCAGCTCTCCTCGCCCATAACAATGGAAAGCTGCCATATGCAAAACATTATTTTAGGTCCTAAAATGAGGATCTGTA